CATTAAATGATAGATTTGATATGGACCTTTTCCAAAACTTAGAAAAATAAAACTAAAAATATAAGTATTGATAGTTTCTCTACTCTGGAGTGTGCGATAGACTTACCTCCACGTGGTGCACCCTGGGCAACGTATACTCATACGGCAAAAAAGTCTATTAGCTGGCAGTTGACTTCTGACTTCAAACTACCCTCACCCCATTGTATGTCATATTCGACTACTTCCACAGTACTCACCTCACCTTTTTCCACTTTTACATTTTAGAAACTATTTTCTGGTCCCCCTCTCCCTCTCTATTTGTTTCACTTTGATGTTCCTTCCCCTCTGTGAAACCTGAAGTCAACTAAAGGGCTAACGATAACCATTAAGACCTTTGCCATTCGATATAAATAAATAAATAATTTCTCTAATCTTGATGTCATCTGGAATAAATTATTCCTATATCTAATATTAAATATTAGCATAGAACTACATCTTTTAGCAAATTAATGAAATATACGAGTGTATATTATGAGAAACATTCTGTTACAATTTAACAAAATAATGATTGAAACGAACCTTACACGTGCTTCATTAATAGAACCATATAAATAACATTGTTAATCTAAGTTATTTATTCATTTGTTTATCTATAAATAGTGTTCTTGTCGGGAAAATCAGCTTCATTTTGGATACGTTTTTTGAAATTTATATACAAACATTCTAATTTAAACCGTTCAATATAACTTCTCGTTTGCCTGTCAAATAAAAATGTAATTGAATTAGCGGCTTTGAAAAGCTAAGCAGTATGACTTGTAATTATATGACATCGGCATTGATTTATAAAGAAAATAAAATTTTTTTCATTTTCATCAAAAATTTATAAGGTTGAGTTGCGTTATTAAATTTGTCTCAAGAGTTTTTGAAATAAATGATTGAATTTTGATAACTGGATATTTTGTAGGTCATATTTTTTCTATTTATAAAACCTAAAGAGTATGTTTTGATTCTTCCTTTACTTAAAGGGTATTGGCTGGATTTTGGCAGTTTATTCAATCGTTCTAGTCCTAGTTTTGTCAGGGTTGGTGTGATTTTGTTCGCTCTTTTCCTGATGTCAACGGATGAGGCCGCAACTCGATGCATCGAACTTAATGAGGCAGTACAAATTTTAGTTAAGGAAACTATTACTTCTATAGATGCAGACGTTGAGCATATTAAAACTGATGTGAGTTTCTGTTATTTTGATTTCATATGAACTAGACAGGCGCGGTTGAAAATAATAAAGTTGTTGACGCTTCGTATGTCAATCCTAAAGCAAATTACCTTTGTAAACAGTACTTCCGTGCCTCGGGGAGTAATGTAAGTGCTATTATTGTTGATTTCTCTAGTGTCCTCCAATGAATGCTGATACTATTGAGCGTATTCGGTTAAAAGAAACAAATATTACTGATGATCTAAACCAGACGCTTCATAAATGTAAATATCCTTATTTTATTTCATTGCATCTTAGTAAACCAAGCTGAGACTGTGAAATTGCTTTTCGCAATCGTGGACTGCTATCGAACAACGCTGCAAGAAAAACTTAAGGAAAGAATAGAGAACCTCACTGAAACACTTACTCTGACTAATGAAGATTTTTCTATGCGCAAGGCAGTATATTCAGAATTGCAAAGTACTGAAAAGGAGCTTAAGAAAATTGGGAAAATAATTTCCTCGTCTGTGCCATGTGAAATCACAAACTTCGTCACTTCCTTGTCAAATATTATTCCTGATTCAGCGCAGTGGAAAAACAAATTCGGTGAAATGGCTGAATGCAAATTGAGTGATTCAAAGTCTTCAGGTATTTCTCTGTCCGAATGGATTTCGATTTTGAGCAAGGCCCATACTGTTCTTACAGATAATGACTGGAATCATATATCCGTTCATATTGTATGATCTATCATTTTCAATAATTTTTGTTTGTTTCTAGTTAAAAAGTGTAAAGTCTCCAACATTTTGTCGTCTCTACTGGTTTCATAGACTGCGACCAGGTCTTGTTCATGGAATGTGGTCTTCAGAGGAATTAGAGTCTCTCAGAATTGCTGTTACAATCCTTGGACCTTGTGGTCAGTGGCAAAGAATTGCTGATCGTTTGAATAACGGTCGATCGGCTTTCTCCTGCTTCAAAGCTTGGCATAAATATCTTAACCCTGATCATCCTTCCGTAAGGACCTTTTTTGTCTTAAATTTAATATTGCGATCTTTTTTCAGAAAATCGCTTGGACTTCGGAAGAGGACAAATCTCTTGATATAATTGTGGATGACGAGGTAAAACATGAATGCAAGGCCATTAGCTTAATTGACTGGGGAGTGGTTAGTGCTCGTCTTCAGTCTCGGTCAGCCATTGCCTGTCAGCGTCGTTACGACGAGTTGCACAAAATCTCTCAGTCAGAACCCTTTACTATGGAGGAGGATCTTGCACTCCTCAAGTCCATTCAGTGTCTGGGGACTGGTGGCGGAGCGTTTGGTTGGGGTACGGGCGGTGAGAATCCGACATGTATTGGCACTTGGTCAGTTATTGCAGCTCAACTTCCAACACAACGCCGCACCGCTCGGGAATGTGAATTGCGCCACAATGAACTCTGCGAGAAATTCCAGCCATGGACTTACAAAGAACTTCGACGACTCTTTAAATTTTCCACCCGTATCATAGAAACCACCAGCAATGATTCTGGACCTCGTAAGTGCAATTAGATAAATGTAATCTTATCATGATAAATCAGAGTTGATCTGGCATTTCGTCATTTAGTCATCGCGGTGAATATACTGTCTTACTTTCCTGGGCGTCCTATGTCCGCACTTCTGGCTAAGATGCGAGATTGCAAGTTGTTGGCTAGGATTTTAAAGCGTCTGCGTCGTTTTCCTCACCATCTAGGCGTCAAATTTGACGAAATTTTCTCTTCAGTTGAAATGAAACCTATTCGTCCACATCTTTTTAGTCCTCCCTCTGTTCTTTGTGAGTGGGTGGGGCAACTTCAAAGAATTGGAATCCGCAATCCCGAGGGTTATGCATTTTCACGGGTAGGTTTGATGGATTAAACACCTTAAAATTTCTGCTACAAAATTTGTTTCTATTTTTTTAGCTTCTTGCGTGGAAGCCCCGAGAACCTTATGTAGTTCCCGAAGGTCAAAAGCCCGATTATATGTTGGAAGCCTTCCATGAATTCAATCAGTTATTACTGGATCTTGAAGAAAATAGGCTTCTCCCAACTTCTGCGGAAATTTCTCAGCTACAAAATGAATCCTTATCAGAAGTGAATCCTCTATCATCATCATCATCACCACCACTATCAGCACAATCAAATCAATTTCATGAGAATAAGGGTGTACATATCATGAGAGTGGCAAAACTCATCAATTCATATCAGGTGTGGTTTTGTTTCTTCCTTATATTTAACTATCATGGAACTCAAGGGTTGATTCTGTCTTTAGATGCGGCCAGTTGTATTTAGCTTGCTGTCAAAGGAGATAGAACGTAGAATGCATCTAGCAGTTCCAGATCTGCCCAGCTTTAATGGCGAACGCGGTGAGGGAAAGCGGAAAATAAAGACTCTTTCGCGTTATTCGGTTAATGAGGACCTGAAGGCGGGCGAAAAATTGCTCAAAGATCACGAATTTTTTGTCAAAATATTTGAACGTGTTCTTAGTCATAATCCCAGGGCTTCTAACGCGTATTACGGCTACAATCCCCGTGCTCTTGATGGGGTTAGTTCTACTTAAATAGTTCTAAGTATCATTGATATTTTATCTTAAATAATTCGTTGAGTTTAGATGGCACCGGAGCTTGCGGGAGATATGCTTTTCTACGCGCAGGAAGAATTGATCGTTGGTGTAGCATCTCAAGAAACGCAAGAGACAAAATGTTACACCAAGAGTGTTCCTCTAGCTAAGCTCCAACGTATTATACGCATTCGCCAGTTGTTACTGAAGTCACGTATTCTGACAATAAAATCAGGCTCTCTTAAAGCCCCTTGGACAATGCCCTTTGGAGAGTCTGGACGCATGGAGGTAAGTCAATCGTCCTTTTCTATCTCTCTCTATCCCTCCCTTTGTTTTTTCAGTAGTTGATGTTATCTGTTTATCTCTAACTTTATGCGAGCGAGCACATGTAAAATAAAGTTTTATTACAAATACCGTTTTATGCCTAATGGCATTTTTATGATCGCATTATATTGCTGGCAGACATGCTTCTCTCTGTTAGAATTCTTATCTTTTCTCAGGAGAATGAATTATTTATATTCGGTGACGAATCTATTTTTTTCATGGTTTTAGCAGCAGCAGGAACAGATCAAGCCACCTCTCCTGGCTCATATTCCTGATTCACTTCGTGCGAAAGTTTTGCTTCCAACATTTTTTTCCAACTGGTTGACAGAAAAGACAACTTCTCTCATTTCTGAATCTCTGGGAGTTGGTCAGGGCTCTGCAATTCAGATCATGTCTCCCAATCAGTCTACCGTCTTGGTTTTCAAGTCTTTATTACTCAAGCTTCCTGAATTTCAACGAGTAGCTGGGGGGACTGCTTTGCGAATTCTACGATACAGGTTATTTGTGTCATAAATGAACGATTTTATTTCGGCTTGGCACTTATTTTAATGGGAGTAAATTTGGGAGATTATGACCAAAGGAAATAAAATATTTCCTTTTGGCTCGATTTGACATTGATGGTACTTTGTCCTCATGGCTTTCGCCTGGGTGTCTAAAAAACCGTCGGCCCTATTTTGTCCCCTTTCCACATGATTCCATCTGAAGCGAATCTATACCTCTTGAGAGAGATTAATTGTTTACTTAGAATTGTTGTAGCCATGGTACTTTTTGCTCGTCTTAATTTTTTTCTTGGGTATATATAGCCCGAAAACATATTCAGTGCCTTTTGTTAAGTGCGCGACGAGGCAAAAGACTCAACTTTTGATCATAGAATGTCTCCTAGCTTTCTCTGTTTCAACTCCCAAACTTGTTTGAGAAGGCGTTTTCCCAATACCTATCATTAATATTCGAAATTTCCCAGACTTTGCCAGGGTGATTGGCCATTCCATTCACTGCTGTAGACGAAGTGTTTACTATTCTCTTAGTACTCCATCTTATCCCAGTTGTACCATTTGCTTTTTTTAACAGGACCGACTGCAATTTTTTCGGACAATCCCAAACTGAGAGCTCCGCAAGTGAAGTTCAAAATACAAGTTCGTTTTTGCTTCTTATTTTGTATTATATTTGTATATTAGGAATTTTAGATTAAATATGCCTTTTGTTATTTGAATAGAAATTGATGATTTAATACAGAAAAGACCAGACATAGCGGCCATGCTTTCAAGTGCGAAGCATCGAACATTCATCCTACGATGTTTCTCTCTCTTTCTCTGGCCTTGTCTCCTTGCCAACATGCGGGCTCGAGGCATCATTGATCGCTCCATCGCCTTCCTCAATGAACAATTGTATGTCCTACTGGCGTTTTATTCTTTCTTTCTCTCATCTAGTAAATTTCTCCACTTTTGTATATGCATGAATGTTGTATGTGTGGCTTTCTTTTGCTGACAGTCCAGTCTTGTGCTGTGAGCTTTTTTTTACCTTACTCTGTTAAGTGCTGAAAGTCTTCCTATTAGAAGATCTATTTCATAACTTTCAATATCAGAGATGGATTGGGGGGCTATTTTTGAAAATCGACCCCCATGCTCAGGCTGAAACTGTTCAGGGCACTCATAGCATTTAACTTAGCACAACATATTTTCATTCTAGACAAAATTTGGATGAATTTGGAGACAATGGAGAGGACGAGTTGGAATCGAAAAAGTCTCCAAAGAAAAGGGAGACGAAAAACGTTGGGAACGCGGAGTAAGTGAAAGATTTCTTAATATTTTAGTTGCTTTTGGGTGGAATGAGGTATAAAGAACCATTTGAAAGTCTTTTTTAATACCCTGAATTAGCAGTAATTTCATCTTGAATATTTCTGTTTATGAACCTTTTTTTGAAGTCATTTATTGAGTTCGTTATGCGGACAGTATGATTATTTATTCTATTATATTTCAGTTTGTTTTCTTCGAATATTCGTATAAAATTGCAAATATAGTTTTTAGTTAACTAAACAGTATTTACCACAGTCTTCATTTCATCTGCCTTCTCAGCCATAACTGCGTCCAATTTCATGTTGAGTTCTTTCGCTATTTCAGGGTGCCTTCGAGTAAGCCATACCGTTCAGAAAAGATTTGGAATCACCCAAGTTTCCCTAACGCCTGGAAACAGTTCACCGTCAATTTCGACGACACTATGAGCGTTGTATGCGAGCTGCCTTCCAACGTAGAAGACCTCTTTAAGTGTGGATTTGTGCCCGACAGCATCAATCCCTAGATTTCGAATTTACCTCAAGCATGTTTTATTATTTTTGCTAAAAGAAACAAAATATATTCTTTTGTAAATCATATGCAAATATACTAAATTTTCTACTCAAAGTGTATCGTTGTTGAGTGGTCTTCTACTGTAAAGTCACAATCGTCCAGCAACAACGGCCGCTACGATCCTTTCCATGCCTCGACTTTAACCTGTATTCAACGTGACTTAAAAGAGTACTTGCTAAAGAATGTATTTTAGAAGAAAGCAATAAGGAGTGAATGGTTTTTTAGGGAGTGAATGAGAGTATAAATGAAAGATGCGCACCACGAAACATTAAAGACAATCCAGGCTTTCAAGTGAGCATCTTTAGCTGTTGCTTGGTCCAAAATTATCCTCTCTATATGAAGTCCTCGCAAGTAATAAATGCCTCTATGAATTTATTCCAAGCGTCTACTCCTGACTTTGAGAGAAATGTGAACTGCCAACTTGCTATTTTTTATTCGGTGTATATGTAGTTGTTTCCCATTGCTTAAAGTGTTAGTGAGACACTAGCGAGTGCATCTCCTCATTGCGATCTCTTTAAACGAGATGTGAGAGGAATCTTCTTGTTAGACGTCATCATTAAAGCAGGGCATAATTGGATCTTTTTAGCAATTATCGACACCTAATTAACAGATATTGAGAAAGCTCAAATGTACCTACTTTACGTGACATTTGTGGGAAGAACCTTCACTTGCCTCCAGGTTTCTCATTGCCTTGCCAGTTTTAGCTGACTGACAAAGACTTCATCTGTGAGACAATACCTTGAGCCATGATTGATTAACTAACTTAATTACCAGCATTTTGTAGCAGAATTGGATTCTGAAGTCTTACTACAATATGCTTGAGATGCTGATCTACCGGTTACAGCAAAAAATTGAAAGTTTTTCGTCATTTAACAAAATTGGGAAGGCCATTTTTCAAGAGTACATCGATCATTCTTCGGCTAACTTCCCACGTTTAAGTTTTTTGAATAGACTAAGTAGGATATGCCTTAGTCAACGACTTCTGGTCCCGTTAGCTGTCTGGGTAAGATTACATTCTCTCATTAAAATTTTACCCAGAGCAGCCCAACTAGCAGCTAAATCCCATTACTGCCTTATCTTGCGCTTAAGCATCTCTCGTCTACTACTTTAGAAAGTCATTCCACTTATTAGCCAGGCATAAATGAGTTTGCGGAAATAAGATCTTCATTGGAACTATTAAGGACGAATTTAATAGAAAGCATCGGCTTTCAGCGGCTACAATGCCATCTAAACCAAACGAAGTAGCCTCGAGCACGATGCAATAGTCTTGTCAGTTCAGTATTCATGCATCGATTATGTCTGCTGTTGGCCACACACAAGAAAAGCTCTTCACTCTCCACGGCCCCTTTTCTCCCCACCTTGAACACCGCTGAACTAAGTTCGGGAACAATTTTATGCATGGCCTATTAGTGTAGTACTCTTTATAAGTTTAATTTGGTATTAACAATACGTTTTAACTTGTCTCCCACCACCAAACATTCTTCAATTAAAGCACTTCATAAATTATGCACTAAACTGTTATGAGAAGTAAACCACTTCAATGCATTAAAACAACCCTTTTGTTTTACAGTAGCTATTCTAAGTAAAGGTGATAGCTTAAAAACTAAATAAATAGGGGACTGGATTTTCCTTTATATTAAAAACTGGTCAAACAGTGACCAGAGGTAGGAGAAAAGATGAATTAACAAAACTTTAAGAGAATTGAGTTGCTTTTTGCCTCTGATGAATAGGTTAATTGAATTGAAATGCTCTATGATAAATAAGCTCGAGACGTCATAAGCATGAATTCATTCAAGAAAGAGCAATATTCAATAATTACTTCCTCCTTAGCCCGATTTAACTGCCTTATTGTGCCCTGAGACAAGAATCCCTACCCCTCGATACACATGGTAAATTTTTAACCTTTCAAGGATAGTAAGAAACCTATAAATATTTTGTGTTTTCAGGAGTTTAAGAGCATCATGCAAGTGTTGTTAATCATTGAAACTGAAAGGAAAGAAAAGTTATTCTCCCATTTTCAATATCGGTAAAAGAACAATTTTCCTCAGAAAGTAGACTCTCGTCTCCTTGTTTACTACTCGAGACTGTCACACGTTCATTTTCATACACCCACGAGAAAGTCAGTTTTTTTAATAAAACAGGCAAAAAACAGAAAAAACGGAACTACGGTGTACTTGTCTAAATGGTGTTACAAATACGCGTATTGTAGAGAAGACAATTTTCCACGAAAAATTCGTTTAATTTCTACTAGCACTGCTATTTTTGCTCTCACAGTTCTGGAATATAGACCAACTGTCATTTTGTCGTTTAAGTTCTTCAATATGAACCCGTTTTAGTTTAATCAAAGTCGCAGGCATGAAAGAACGCGAATTTGTAGATATTTTGTGCAAACTGCATAAAGAACACATTAGTAGACAAAAACCATTTCACGACAAGTGAAATGGCCAACAAATGGGTGAACGAGGTGGTGAAAAAACTATTAAATGAAATCAGAATGTTAATAATCTTATGTTGGTCGAAGCTCTGATGGAATTGGGTTGTTCAATTTCTCATAAGGGATGTGATTCACTTGGCAAATTCTAAGCATCCTCAAGTTTACTTTCCCTAATTTGGCACCTGGCTGTCTATATGACCTCGTTCCCGTAATATCCAGGCATGTCGACTGAGTAATGCAACGGAATGGTTGATACATTTAACAATTCGAAAAATCAAGTGCTTGACACTAAGACTGACAAAGGTTGCTAAAACAAGAAACAGAACGCATATGAGGCCATCAGATATGGATTCCAATAATAATAGTTAATGCAATTAGCATTTGCTGCTTTTGCAAACAATATTTAAATTGCTAGTTTAAAACAACTTAGCAACTGGAGGAGAATTCATAATTATAGCGGAAGCCGTGTTTTGATGCTCAACAGATATCGCATTCCATAGAATACTTGAGTATATTTGCCTCATGCATTGCACATTTTAAACGTAGTTTTTAAATGTAAGAAGCGATAAAAGTGAGATCTAAACAAGTAAAATCAACAACAATTTAGAACCGCGGGGCAACGGAAATCACATTTTTTTGTCAAAAACGAAAAAAGAAAATGCGATATGACTGAGAAGTCACTTCACAACGCCATATTTCATCGTATGGAGTAGTTGAATAAATTCATGAACTTGTGGAACACGTCATCGCTTAACGCGTCATCGCATGCCTACACGCCAGGATTGGGAGGTGCGACCGTACAAACAGTGACCAATCATTAACCTCTGTTTGTTTAACCTAATCCGCCATCCTTATCATGATTAAACTCCCTGCGTGTACACTTTATCCGCAATATCCGTATTGAGTAAACGTGTTCCGTGTTGTACGTCTGTTTCCTTCATGGCTGGGCTATGGCTTAGCTGGTTCTGGGAGTCTAGCTAGATGTAGGAGAATCTACCACAGAGATTTCTGAGTCAGTCAGGCTTTACTAGTGTAGCAATCCACTGCAGGTTTCTTTAGCAATCCTCTACAAATTGGTGACCCTGACGTCTTCTACATAAATAAAATACACCTCCACATAATGGAGGTTCGCAGGAAGGAAAAGGAAGGAACTTAATCATTATCAGCATGGCGGATTCGGTAAAACAAATGGGCGTCGGTGAGTTCGCCGCACCTGGTCCGTACGCGAGTTTGCACGTGATGTTGGCTAAGCGATGATGTGTCCCACAACCCCAAAGTTGGAAGTTAATTCAATTAAACAATTTATCACAGATTGGGGACTTTTGGGCTGATTAGTCAATGGGCACTTATCAATATAGCAATCCAATTCTTCGCCTTCCGAGTCATCAACTTC